GTCTCTCTGTCTCTCTCTCTCTGTCTCTCTGTCTCTCTCTCTCTGTCTCTCTCATCAGGATAAAAACTAAAAGCCTCAGACTAAAACAAACAGCCTGAATCCTGACAGTGTTTGTGAGATTTGGTGTAAAAAAGATGCAACTTTAAGCAGTTTTCTGAGCTCAACGTGCTGCAACTTGAGGAGAAAAAAAGGCTCACAAACATGAAAAACAAAGTGACTTCTTACAGTTTTCTTTCTGTTTAAAGGTTTCATTTTGAGTTTTTATCRATTTAATGCTCAGAACTGTTATCCTGGAGTCTTGCTCATTAATTAGCAGCAGGATGAAGAGAGTGATGCCTGAAGATACTGAACCCAAACTTCTCGATTCACAAAGTYGAGCTCGTTCTCTATAGCCCAGCAGGACTGTCCTGTGTCCTGTTTGTGGTCTTCATGGACCGGATCTYAGTTCTGGTTTGGARGCCTCMGAACCTCGTCTGCTTTATGAAGCTYGTGTGGTTGTGTTGGTGGCTTCCGGCTGTGACCTTCAGCGCACGCCGGAGTGGGTCCCAGCCRAATGTGAAGCCAGAGTTCTCAGCTGGAAACAGCTGGAATGCTCYCAAGCAGAGGAGTTAAATCTGGACTTTGTCCTCAGCAACGAGAGGGTTGCTCCGGTCTGTCRTGGTGAAGGAGCTGAGGTGAACAGGTCCACCTGCATTCTGACCCTTACCTGTGGCCATGAGGTAAGGATCAYGAGGAAAGTGGGTGAAATCAGCTTCCTCTGCAGGGTGGCAGGGTGAGGAACCCCACCATCATGGGGGTCTTCATCGAACACAGTCAGCTCAGGAGGTTCAGGCATGCCTCTCTTTTATAATCTATTTATTCATACATGTATGTCTTTATTGTTATTGTTTATAATACTTCTATTTGTTGTTCGTAAACATAATTACTGAACAAATAAAGATTATTCTATTCTCTTAAATTCTAATTTTATGATTTAATTTTTGTTTGTTTTTGCAGATTTTGTKTTTTTGTGTCTTCTGAGTTGTTACCCCTAAATGCACTTACATGTTGACAGTGTTAGCTCCGGTTTGCATGTGTCTTCTCAGGTTGCACCGGGCCGGGTGCGAACAGGGGGCAGGTCATGGGTGGAACCGCAGCCCGCTCCTCTCCGACGCTCTGCCGGCACTCTGCTCCGTGTTTTCCGGGCGTCCCTCGGCGGTGCTCCTYGCAGCCTGTCGCTGGTTTTTACTCTGCTCCTGTCCTGGTATCACTCCGCTGCTTATGGTGAAGACGAGGACCTGATTATTGTGATGGTGGCAGCCAGGAGCACTCCGACTCACACACTTCCGCCCCTGCGTCTCATATCCGCGTTTTGAGCCGTCTGGGAATAAAGAACTCCCGGCTGCTTCTCCGCTGGACTACCGAGGGCGCCTGCGCTCCTTTTTTGTTGCTTTTATTCCGACTTAACGAACATCTTCCCCGGGATTTCTTTCTTTCTTTCTTTCTTTCTTTCTTTCTTTCGCACATCATGTGAGATATGCAAGTTCTGTGGGAAACTCCGGAGCGTGTTCGGTGTAGGCAGCAAAACTTTTTCTCGGAGGACGACACCGAAGGACGGGGAGCGGAGAGCAGCCGCCGCTGCTGCTRCTCCGGAGCGGGACGGTTCGTGTCCGAATGACCGCCCGCTTTTTACAGCTTTTTTCCCCCCTGAGGAGTTTTTGTTGTTGTTGCTAGCAGCGTGGCAGCGGCTCGAGGCTTGTTTTGGTTGCATTTAGGARAAGAAGAAGGCGGCTCGCTGCCCTTTAAACCCCTCCGCCTCGGCGGCTCTTCCGGAGGGATTCGAGCGGACAGAGGGAGCGAGGACGCCCGGGTGGAGGTGGAGGCGGAGGCGCTGAGCTCGACCTGACTTGGGAGAAAAAGTTCCTCCAAAATAGCAGCCACGAGTCGCCGCGGTGATGGGGGACTTCGCCTCCCCCGCCGTCGGACCCAGCGGCAGTCTCTGCATCAACAGCGGCATGAACCCGGSCAGCGGAGCCGTGGTGCCCGCCGGAGTCGTGGGCATACCTAAGCACAGCACCGTGGTGGAGCGGCTGAGGCAGCGGATAGAGGGCTGCCGGAGGCACCACAACATCTGCGAGACCAGGTACCAGCAAGCCCACTACGAGCAGCTGGAGCTCGACCGGAGGGAGACCGTCCACCTGTACCAGCGGACCCTGGAGCAAAGGGCCAAGAAGTCCGGCGGCGGAGGCAGCAAGCAGCCGCAGAGCAAGCAGCAGGACCCGGACTCTGCGTCCTCCACGGAGCAGAAAAACAACGCGCGCATAGTGGTAAGGAAGAGCTCCCAAAGCGGGGCAAAGACCCCACCAGACCCCGCTATCTGTCGTTTTAAATTTATTAACAAGCTGCACAACTATACAGCAAGGTGAACTTGTTGACACTCTCACCAGAGGCGGATCTAGAGTTTTTCTTTTAGGGTGGCCATGGTGGGGCAGGAGGTGGCCATGGTGGGGCAGGAGGTGGCCATGGTGGGGCAGGAGGTGGCCATGGTGGGGCAGGAGGTTCCAGCAGGGGGCAAAATGTGTTGTCTTCATGAAAAGTTTTATTTCTGGACTTTGTTTATGCATTCAGGCTATCTATGTCAACACTTACCTGAGTGTTGTCAGTTTTCYTCAAATGGGGCGCGCACCCTTTAGAACGCCGGTCGGCAAAGCGGCCAACCGGGTGGGCTTTGTTTATGCTCAGTTTTAAGTTGTATATCTGCTGAATGCTCAGCTCAAATYTAATGTAAACAAAACAAAGTTTGTTGCTTTTGATCAGTAAGAGGCGCTCTGATAAACTGCAGGTGATTTCTGATGTRTTTATTTTTAATTTATTTTTTGTCTTTGTTGAGCATTTATGTCATCAGCTGTTAATTGTAACTATACAATTAAACCGCACTGATCGATCATTCGTAATTTAAGGTGACACCACCATCCCACCATCCAATGCTATGCTCTTTTTTTTTAAGGAGGCTCCTCCTTTGCTCTCTTGCATGCATGATTTTGGTTTGTGGGGAGAGAAAACCCATGCATGCACTTGGTGAACGTGTACACTCCACACAGGAAGGCCTCAGCCGGCGACAGKTTTGATAAAAACAAACCCAAATGAAGCAACCCACTCCTGCTTCCTCATGATAAAGGATAGAGAGAGGGGCTTCTGAATTTAATATATTTAATTGCTTTAAATTAGGTTTTACTAAAGTCTTTAAATTGCCTGTTTGTTTGCAGGTAAAACTGTTATGAAATTGAAGAGCGGTGTGCAAATTCTAAATTTAAAAAGTTTAAAGAGCCCTGGAGATGTCTTTGCCTTAACATTTTACAAAACATACCAAACTATATAAACTAGCCTACAAACAGAATAGTTATTTCCAGTGGCAGCTGCCACTTAGTGCCACCCCCTAGAACCGCCACCGACTCCCACTCTCCACGTTTTGCTTTTTAAAAACAAGAGTGCCGGCTAAAGTGTGTTAGTTCCTGGAGCCTGAGCCCTGCTGTTTGGAAATGACAGCTGATATATTTGCAAACCCAACATGCAAAGGAAGTCCTGGAGGTTTTTTTGGGGGGAAGTCAGGGCTAACTGGCAAGTTCTGATTTTAAGCTCAGAAAACATCAACATCTGGAGGTGGTGTCGCTGAGAAATTGCACGAAAAGAACTTCTCCTTTTCTCGTTGTTTGTGATTGGGTGGAAGTTATGTTCTGCAAGACGTGTCGGCAGCAGCAGCAGCAGCAGCAGCGTTGCAACACTGCTTCCTCGCTCTGAAAGCTGCAGCGGTTTATTCCACTGTAACCTTTGTAACATACTCTTTAAAATCAACAGCCGGTGCCCACGGGGCTGCAAACACTTAATCACAGCTGCTTTTTGGTGCTGAAAGTAAACCGGCCGTAAGAGGTGAAAATCACCGCTGCAGTTCTTATGAAACAATAAATATCGTTTTCTTTCTTTAGCTTCATTCTAGAGCTTTAAAATAATATTTTATAACAAAAAATAAAAATCCACAGTCTTTTAAAAGTTGTGTTTTTTTCCCTTAATGCAAATACTGTGATTGCAGTTAGAATGCTACAATGATTTCCTGTTGATAGGGGGCAGTGGTAACATATGGAGGACTGCTGAATCTGTTTTGGCTCTCCTATCAGCATCTTGGTTTWCTACAGATCTCATCTTGAAGGATCAGATTTTATTTTTGGTGTTTGRTCGTAGCGGCTTTGCATCAAAGACATTGAGACAGACAGCAGTAAACTGTGTAACGTTCCCTGTTCACACCACATCCCCTGTGGGCCAGCTCCAGTTTCCCTTTAGAAAACACTAAAGGATGCACGTTGTTGGGGAATGTCAACATTGTTATCCCTTTTGTTGCCGCTACGAGCCCRGTTCCATCTCCCACCTTTTGAAATGCAAAAATCAGAGCGTCTTTAATTTTCGGAGGGCTGCCTCGGTGGTTATTTGAGAGCCGCGCAGGACGGACCTGTTCCAGCTTGAGAGAGCGGCAGTGATTTAGTTTTTTTTTTTTTTTAGGCAAGGAGCTCCCAGCAGCCCTTGTGGACATTATACTGATCCGCCCATTAGATGGCCAGCAACAAACGCTCCAAGAATGGAGGGATTACGGCTTAAAGACACAGTGCCATCCATTTGCTCTGCTCCCTTTTTTTACTCACTGATGGTGTCAGCTTGTATTCAAACACAACATTCTCGCTAAGCCRCACAGAGCTGCCAGTTTTGTGCTRCATAGTAGGTGTGCAGGCACGGATCGTTAGAAGAAGGTCTGTAAATCCCCCTCTTGGTTTTCCTCGGAAGAACAGAGCCGCAGCTAGATGGCTGTATGTAGTCGCTTCAGACGCTTCTGGGAAGCAGCATCATCTCACAGGCGTGTGTAACAAAAAAAAAAAAAAAACCACTCCTGGGAGGTTGAAATCTGGAGGGTCTACGCTATGACTGCGCTGTGAAGCGTGCAGCGTGGAAAAGTTGTGCTCGAACACAGCTTAAAACCCACAACCTAATAAGAGCAGCAGCTTCCATGGTTGGAGATGTAAAGTTCACAGCGTGAGGCTAAAATTGCTCTTGGGCTGTGAAACGCACAGGCTTCATGACTCGCTGGCTTTCTGTGTCGATAATTGTCATAAATTTCAACAAGGTGCGAGGAGGAAACGCATAAAACCTGTGAAAAATAGTGCTTTTTACAGAGTTGTACACCGGAGCACTCGAACACAAATAAAGAGTTTTGTAGTAATGTTGAGGAATACACTCAATTTTTCTGTTTCTTTTGTTTTGTTTGATTATTTGTTCTATTTTATGCTGCTTATAGATTTTAGCTACCATCTGCTACTTTTTGCTTGAAGTTAGCATTCTGCTGCCTCAAAATTTTAGCTTTTCTTCTACTGTTTTCTTACTTTTAGTGTTTAACTAGCCTTTTGCTGTTTTCTTGTTTTAGCTACTGTTTTTAACTCTTTTGCTTTTAGCTAGCATTTTGATATTTTAACTATAAGCTAACCTTTTGTTGTTTCTACTTTTGCTTTTGCTACTGATAGTATTTAGCTTTATTTTTAGCTTCTAGCTTGCAGTTTTAAACTCACTGCTAAGTTTTTGCTGCTTTGAGCTAGCCGTTTGCTACTTTCAGCTGGTGTTCATCTATTTTTAGCTGTTTTTAGTTAGTGTTATGATCATTTAACTTCTCAGCAAATCATTCTGTGCTCAGGATTCACTGCGTTTTTGCAGAAAATGCCATTCCTCATGATTTTTTTAAGCTCCTTGTTTTTTTTTTTCTGCGTGCATCCCAGCACAATGTGCTYTGGTCTAATGGTTCTCAGACACACCCACGTCAGAGCAAGCCTGTAATTATGGAAAGTGTGTGTTTGTGTTTATAGGCCAAGTATTAGTGAGGTTGGAGAAGATGACACTGCAAACCTAGCCCTCTTTCCCACCATTTCTTCAAGCAGAACAGTTGAAGCTGCAGGTAAACAGGACCTGCGACGTGATGTTTGCCTCTTTAAGATATACTGTAGCTTCTTGTGGTGGCAACATGTTGCACAAAAGTTGTCTTTTTTATTTTCCTCCTCTGAACTTTAAAGAAAATGTCTTTGAGTAATTGGTGAAGYTATCATATAGCTTTGCTTGTTAAACTGGTCAGAAAAACTTACGGCGGCACGATGTCAGGAAAACCTGCGATGTGTGATAACGGTGCTTAGTATGACTTATGATAAATAAACAAATAAAGTTGTAATAAATAAACAAAYGAAGYATAGTGTTGATGTCTTTCTGCTCTGGGTTCAGAGCAATAAAAAAACCTAATCATTTCCATTCCACCATGATTTTTTTAGAAATAWAAAGAGATCCATCCAATTGACCAAATACATGAATGGTTTCGTTTGATTGGTGAAATACTTCAAGCTTCCATCTAAGAAAAAAAAAAACACGCATAAATGCAAACTTTTCAGCCAATCGTTTATTGCAGTTTGCAGTTTTTCACGATGACGATCAATTTTCGATATACTGTGCAGCCCTAATTAAACTCTMTTGCTCCGAAATGAGGAGCTTCCAAAAGCTATCTACAACAGATAAGATATTGATCGTTCATAACCTTTYTATCCCTCTTCAAAGCAGTTGCAGCAAATTTCTTACTAAATTAATTTAATCCCTCCTCTTTAGATGTCAAACAAACTGAAGTTGTTTTTATTTTAATTATGAAACATGACATCTGTGGTTTAAACTTCTCATCATGTTTAAACTGAACATCAGCTTCAGCATCTTTGCTCCACAGAACATGGTAAATAAAAACATCATCAGGTTTTCATCCAGGGATTGATYGATTGGACTAATTATTAATGAAGATAATTGATAGCTCTGGCCCTGGAATAAAGCTTTTTGAGATGGTTGATGTGATCACATAATGTTTGATCCGTCTGTGCAAACCACAGACTCATAAAGTGTCCGTGCAGACTGGGGACGGACCACTACTTAAACATTCTTTACATAAACGCACACTGGAGAAGGTGAAGATGTTTTTGCTCCTGTGTGTTTTTGTCTGTAGTGTTAGCAGAACCAGTGCACAGCTTTAGTGAAACTTTAAAGAAG